AGGATTCTGTGATTTTCCGGGAATCTCATAGATGGGAGCTCTAAAAGCCCAGCTCCTGCACGTTTTGGCAGTTCTTATTCCAGGAAAATGGGTCAGGAATCCTAGAGGGATTTGGGTTGGAAGGGAAATTAAAGATCATCCAGTTCTGCCCCATTGCCATGGGAGGGACACCTTCCACTATCCCAGGTTGCTCCAAGCTGGCCTTGGACACTTCCACAGATGGAGCATCCTCAACATCTCTTTGCTAATTGGGAGGAAAGGGATTCATAATATTTTTCATTTTGTGGTGGAAAATGACAGAGCAGGAATTAAACAGGGAATGCCCAACAAGGGTTCAACCTGTCCCTCAACACCATGTTTGACACCACCCCTAAATGATAAAAAAATAGAGTTAAACAGATAATTAATTAATTAAACCAGCCCTGGCCAGGGCTCTCCTGTAGAGTTGTAGCATTTCCTCTATTTTCTCACCCTGTAGCAGTTTTCTTTAGAGGCACCAAGTCCTTAAATATTTTAATTAAAGAATGCACCCCAATGGTGTGAATTCCCCAGGAAATCCTGGATCGGCCCCAGGAAGACCAGACCTGGTACAATTTCGTGGGGAGAGGGAAAAATTTTCCCTTCTTTAAAGTGCAGCTCACACAAAACAAAAATCCCAGCACAAAAGCAAACTATTTGCAAAAAAAAAAAAAAAAAAAAAATTACTGTTCTGACAGCTTTGTGTGCGTGAGACTGTTTATTTATTTTATTTTACTTTATTTTATTTTATTTTATTTTATTTTATTTTATTTTATTTTATTTTATTTAGAACATGGCAGAGTCATGCTGAGGTGAACAAAACACATTGGCGGCCTCAAAAAAGACCAGGATAAAGGTTTTTCACCCAAATCTCAGTGGAGATGCTCCAGGCCAGGCTGGATGGGGCTCGGAGCAATCTGGGATAGTGGAATGTGAAAAATGAGTATTTTATGGTTGGTTTTTAGCAAATATTCAAATGAATATTATTTGTGTTGTGTTAGAAAACTATGCTGTATTAATTTGCTTAAGTAGTTTGTTAAATATAGTTTTAGGTTATAATAAAATGTTAAAATAGGAACTCTGCTATGTAGGATACTTTTTTTTAAAGAAAGGACTTGCACCAGATAGCAGCCACAGGACAGCTAAATCTTTCAAAGAAAGATAATTTATTTCTCCATTATCAGAATAAACTGACTTCTCCCTGCCTTGCTCAGCCCTGAAGATGCTGTTAGGATTCAGAGGAAGAAGTTGACACTGACCAGACAGAATTTATGCATCGGGGATGAGGTGTATGAATATGCAACAGGCTGTTGCTTTTAAGGGTTAATCCTCTTTTAACGTGGGTTCCTTTTCAGGCTTATTTTGCCCAGAAAGAGGTACCTGGCCTGTCCTTAACTCTTTGTTTTTATTGTCTTGCATTGTCCTCATCCAAACCGTCCAAATTTTTATTACCTTAATTATATTATTATTTTTATAACCATTTTAATTCTATTAAACTTTTAAAATGTTAAAAACAAGTGGCTGCCATTTTTCACGTGGAAGATGGCATTTTTCACATGGAAGATGTCCCTGCTCATGCCAGCAGGGCTGGACTGAAAGGCCTTTAAAGGTCCCTCCCAACCCTTTAAAGGTCCTTTTAAAGCCAAAATATGCCCCAATTTAATGATTCATCACTGAGCAAACGAGGGTTATCCAGTTCCTGACCAACTCCAACGCACGACACGGAAGAGGCATCCAGTGATTTCAGGGATTAAGGGGATCCAGAGACCTCAAACACAGGGCTGTTCCCTTCAGGTCAGACGTGACTCACATCTGTGGGATGGTTTGTGAAGCGTGACTCTGCTTCTGCAGATCTGAGGAGGACAAAAATAATTCTAAAATAATAATTCTGCCTGCCGGGGGCACCGCTTGAAAACGTCCACGCGCAACTCCCCTGCCCTGGGATGCACTGAACGTGCCAGTGAAAGCTGAAGTTTTAAAAATAAATTAAAACCCTGACATTCTGCCTAAAGCAATTGGTTTTGTGCAGCTCAGAACTCCTCGTTGGAGAACTGCAGCTGACTTACACGGGAGCCTTCTGAAAGCTTCCACAAAAGGCAGGAACTGCACTCAATGTTCCCCACCCCAGAGGAGAAATTATCTGAAGAAGTATTGGAAGCAACAGGGAGAGTCAGACTCCCACCAAGAGATAATTTTGTCTCTCGTTTTAAGCTAGAAAAGGAGATTTAGCACAAATTCTGCAGTCGGTGGGTTTTACCCTCTTGACATGAAACACATAAACAAGAGCTGAAAACATCTTGGTTGTAACACAACTGCAAAAAAAAAAAAACAAAAAAACAACCCTGAAATATGAGGCTCAGAACCATTAAAATTGCTTTAAAATTATCCTTGAATGGGAAAAAACCCCATGGATCAGCCATGCCTGCTTCTTAATGGATGCTGCTGGCAGGGAGCCAGCCTGGAAAGACAATTAATTTGTTTACAAAAATAAATAATAACATCCAGCCTCCATCAAAGCGTGGAGCCATCAGCATTGGTGAGCCATCAAAAGCTGCTAGCTGAGACCATCCTTCTCCTTAATAACCACTCATTTGATGGGAAGAAAACATTCCAGAAGCTCTCAGGGATGTCTCCTTGGAAAGCCACGAGTGAGTGACTCCATGCATGGAGTGGGTGCTGTGGTAATTAGCTCCAGAAAGTCGTTATCCTCCAAAACAGCTGCACGCCCTGACTTTTTAAAGAGGTTTTTTTTTGGGTTTTTTTTGGATTTTCAGCTGCTGGAGTTTGGCCAAAAAAGTATCAGGAGCATCATCCACACCGTGCTGAGATAAGAAACAACAGAGGTTTTGAAGGAAAGGAAAAATCCCACTCTGATGCTCCAGAGGGAAGCAATTTGCATTTTTTTGGAGATGGAGCAACAGGTTTTTATGGCCAGTGACCACCTGGGTGGCAAGATTTATCACCTCGTTGAGAACCCTACAAGAACAGGCTGCAAGAAGCTGTCGAGGCACTTGTAGCCTAATTTAGGATCGATTTAAACAATTACAGCCTGAAATTTAATGCTGAATAATTTTGAGACAAATGAGTTTCACGGTGATTCAGTCGCTCTGCGAAGGAAAAGGGTTTCAAGTGTTTTACATCTGAGGAGGGAGAATGGAAAACAAGGCAGTAAAATGGAATATTTACTGAGAGAGGACAATTTTTTTTTAAGGATAATCTTTACAGGAGTGGGTGATTCATCTGTGAGGACACAATGCTTGAAAAACCTTTTATCTCTCATCTAATTCAGCTCAAACATGTGCTGCTAGTGATCCCAAAGCAGCTTTATCAGTGGGGGCTGATAAATTCCCCAGTGCTGTTCCAATCCCAGCTGGAGAGGCTTCAAGAGACATCTTTGGGATGGCAAAGAGTGGGATGGTTAAACCAGGAACAGGGAAAAAGCTGAGGGAGAGCTTCATTCACCACATTTCCATCGTATCCACGAGGTGATGGGGGCAAAGACTCCAGGCTCCAGCACTGTCATGCAGAAATAGCCTTTTTTCCCCCCCTCCCTTTAATGGAAAATCAATAGGATTATTTTAGGGAGCTATTTGGATGAGTTGGTTCAAAGAGGCAGCAATTTTTCTTCTCTATTCAGAGAATTACCCTTCTCTGATGTCGGGAACAAGGAGACCTCCTGACCACAGACAGTTTGACCAAGAATAATTCCAGTTCAAAATAATTTCCATCCATCAAGAGAAACAAACTGTAGGAATGGGACGAGAAAATTCCAAGCCACTCTGAGTCTTCAACCCCGAACAAACACTGAGGAAATATATTGATATTACAGAACACATTTTCATGTGAAATGAAGCCATAAGCCACAAAAAATACTTTATCCATATTAAGGTTGGTAAAGCTTGGGAAGGAAACAATCCAGGGATTCTGTGCAGCACCAAAACATCAGTTCAGCTCCTGGAAAGAGAATTTTGGCCTCTTTCTAAAGAAGCTGTTCCCCCCTCCAGGGACTTCTGGAAATGCTGTTCTGGAATTTGATTTTGTTTTGGCTCTGAAAGGACCACCCCAGCCCTGCTACACCCAGACAGGCACAGTTAGTGACCATTAATCCATTAAAAATTCTGGGAATGGTAACAGTAAAACAGTTATGGTATTATATTATCCCTGTGTTTTACAGCTGTAAACTGGGATGGAAAATGGCCACCTAAACCTTGGGATAAAGGTGCTGCTTCCTCAGGACTCTGCCAGTATTATCCATCCCTGACGAGAGGATTTCCCAGGAAAGAGGGAATAACTTCAAAGGATCAAAAGAGCTTGACATGACCAACAGCCAGAGTCAGTTCATTCCTTGCAGTCCCAGACAACTAATGAAATTCAGAATTTTGGGGTGGGATTCCTGTTCCCCATGGAGTTGGGGTGACAACTTGCTGCTTTTGTCACTGCTCCACACTGGAGTTCAAAAGAGGTGTTTCAAAGGAGACTTCTCCTACAAACGCTCCATCTGCAACCCAAATCCCTCACAGCTTTTCCTGATGGAGGGAGCCGTGGGGCTCCACATCAATCACCAAGGTGCTTGGGAGGATCAGATCCCATCCCTGCTCCTCCTGGGAGCCTGGAATGTCTGTTCAGCCTGGTGGCACAGCTCTGTGACTGGCAGGTGTCCCCAGAACTTCTCAAGGAGACACACATGAAAATATTCCTCATGGCCAAGATCCCATCCATGGCTGCCCTCTGGCAGTGGGAGCCATTCCCTGTGTCCTGTCCATCCCTTGTCCCCAGTCCCTCTGCAGCTCTCCTGGAGCCCCTGCAGGCCCTGGAATGTGCTGGAAGCTCTCCCTGGATCCTTCTCCAGGTGAGCACCCCCAGCTCTCCCTCCAACCCTCAGAGCAGCTCCATGGACCTGCTCCAGCAGCTCCACAATTTTTCCTCATTGTATACACAACCAGGTCATGGCTGGGCGTGGACAGGGCTCCCTCAGCTCCTACCTGCAGCAGAGGCCTCTGCACTCCCAGGATCTTCATGGTGTCGGCGTTGGCCAGGATTTTGAGGGGATCCGAGGCCTTGGTGACGCCTTCGATCTCCTTGTTGATCTCGGCCAGGACCTGGCTGAGGAAGATGTTCTTGATGTACATGGTGAGGAACTCCCTCAGAGGGCACTGCTTGGCCGGGCCCAGCTCCATGGCCAGCTCGATCTCCTGGATGAACCTGGAGCACAGAAAGGGGAAGGACCGATTGTAGTTAAATCGTGGAGATGCTTGGGATTTGTTGGCGTTGCCTTTGCCACTCCAACATTTCAGAGCCAAGCAGTGTGGGAATGACCATGGACTGTCCCAGCTTGAGGAATGAAAGGGAGAAAAGGTCCACAAGGTAGTTTTAGGAGAAAAAAAAAACCCAAAAACAAAAACAAAAACAAAACAAAAAAACCCCAAACCAAAACATAACAAAAGAAAACAAAACAAACAAACAAAAAAAAAACAAACCAAAAAAACCCCCAAAAAACCCCCAAACCAAAACAAAAAAACCCCCAAACACAAGGCCAGGCACAGACTAAAATGCTGGAGAAGGACAGATAAAATGAGAGAAAATCCACATCCCAGGCACAATTCCTGTTTGTGCCACAAAAATTTGGCTTTTCCATTTGGGACATGCTGGCAAGATGTCCTTATAAAAAAATTTGGCTTTTCCATTTGGGACATGCTGGGAAGATATCCTCATAGAAAAATTTGGCTTTTCCATGTGGGACATGCTGGGAATATGTCCTTATAGAAAAATTTGGCTTTCCATGTGGGACATGCTGGGAATATATCCTTATAAAAAAAATTTAGCTTTTCCATGTGGGACATGCTGGCAAGATATCCTTATAAATATAAAATCACCATTAAAAAAGCTAAGATGCCACAAATCACTTTAAAAAGCCAAGCTTCCTTCTGGGCTTGGTCACTTGATTTCCACAGGTGGATTCCCCCACCTCTAAACTGAACAACAGAATATTCCAGCTCAAAATCCTGAGAAAAACCATGGAAAAAAAAGCAATATCTATGCATGATGCCATTATCCTCCTGCATTATGGATGCCTGTGTTATGGTGTATTTTTATCACCCTTTATTGTTCCATTCCAGGATCCCATTCCTGAGCACACAGAGCAGCAGGATGACTCTGGGAATATTTTAGCACCAAATGTTTGCCATTTCCTGCAAAATCTCTTTATTTCTGTGCTGCCATCTGGTTACCACGGAGGAGTTTATTCCAGAAATTACCTCGTCATGTCTTTAACTACATCTGAGGCAGTGGAATTGGTGTTCCTTTCAAAACAATTAGGGATTGAGTATCAGGAGCCATAATGGATTGAGATATGCTGTCCTGAGTTGTGCTGAGGAAGGTTTAGGTTGGATATTAGGAGAAATTTTTGCAGTAAGAAATGGTCAGGAAGTGGAGCAGGGAAATGTGGAGTCACATATTAAGGAAGTTATTAAGAATGAAGCTGTGCAAGGCATGGAGAACTGGAGGACAGGGATGGGAGACCTTCAGTTGGGATGCTCAAGGACAGTTTGATGAAATTATTATGGGAATGGAAACCAGTGAAGTCTTCATTTAATCCCAAAGATCGCTGCAGAGGGAAATGGGAGCAGAGAAAAGGTAAAGCAAAATGAACTATGGATGTCAGAGTGTGGCTTCCAGCAGGGAACAGCCCAGGAGTTCCTGGATTTGATAATCCAGTGAGAAAAGTTCCTTTTTACAGCCTCAGGGGACAACTGGGATCCTGTTTGCTGGGGTCTGCTGTGGTTCAGAGATGACCTCTCCAAATTTCCAGCAGGCAGAGTGAGTCCCACACTGCTCTGCACCCCAGGCAGCCACTCTGGAGCTTCAGCCTCCGAAATCCAGCTGGGCACAGCACCAGGGGGCTCAAGCAGGAGTCACAAAGTTCCAGGTGTAGGTGAGACTTGCACCAGGAATCCTTCTGGGACACTGAATGGCAGCACTGGTGCACCCTTCATGTCCTGGACAGGGAGGGTTACTCAGAATTCCATTAAGAACAGATTAAAAATGAAAAATGTGAAATGATTTTTGTATTTAAGAGAAGGAAGAGTTGCCTCTGGATCCCTGGAAGTGTCCAAGGCCAGGCTGGATGGGGCTTGGAGCAGCCTGGGACAGTGGGAGGTGTTGAGGTTGGAAGTGGATGATCTTTAAAGTCCTTTCCAACCCAAACCATTCCAGGATTCCATGAATTAGGGATGCAAAGTCTAACTGTCACCTGAATAAATGTGACACCAAGAGTGACTCCTCTGCCACGAAGTCCCACAGGGTTCTTGGCTTCCCAGCTTCCCTCTTCCTGCTTTCTCATCCCGTCACATCCCTCCTGTTTGTGGGAATTTCACCATCAGTTTGTGGGAATTAGAAAAGGTAAGAAGATCTTTAGAAAGCTGGGAAAACAGGCTTTAGAAATAGAAATAACAGAAAATTTAGAGCTAGCTGCAGCTAAAGTTAAAAAAGCTATAACTAAAAAAAAAACCTCTTATTTTTCATAGTTGCTCAATCCCACTTGGCCATCCTGTGTTTGTCTACCAGGAGCCCAGCAGATTTGGGAGCCCAAAAAACACCAGAGGGGAAAGAGCTGCCAGCTCAGGAACCAGCCCTTGCCTCTGGCTGGTCTTGCTGAGCTTTGGTTGGAATTGTGTCCATTGGGAATTTCAGCTGGAATTGTGTCCGTTGGGAATTTTTGCTAGAATTGTGTCCATTAGGAATTTCGGCTGGAATTGTGTCCATGGGGAATTTCAGAGGGAATTGTGTCCATTGGGAATTTCAGCTGGAATTGTGTCCGTTGGGAATTTTGGCTGGAATTGAGTCCATTGGGAATTTTGGCTGGAATTGTGTCCATTGGGAATTTTGGCTGGAATTGAGTCCATTGGGAATTTCAGAGGGAATTGTGTCCGTTGGGAATTTTGGCTGGAATTGTGTCCATTAGGAATTTCAGCTGGAATTGTGTCCCTTGAGAATTTCGGCTGGAATTGTGTCCATTGGGAATTTCGGCTGCCATGAAGCAGAACTGTGAGCAATGCACATCTTTCAAGGGGTCCAAATAAGCCAAATTTGGGGTTATTTTCCACACCCTTTATCCAACAGTTCATCTCGCTGAGAAATGTGGAGATGGAAATTCCCAGCCAAAGGAAAACCCAGCAGAATTCAACCAAAATTTCTCCTCGTTCTCAGAAAAAAACCCCCAAGTAGCTCAGATGTATTTCTCGAAAAAACCAGCCCCAGTTGGCAATAAAAGATCAGTTTCAGAACCATCAGTTGTGTCCCACCTTCAAAATACAAAAATGCTTTGTCTGAATAAAAATTCCGATTGAGGGGTGTCACCAAATTTCGGATCATGGTCTCTGTAGATATTCCTGGGAGCTGCCTGAAATCCTGAAAAAGGGCTCGTAGGGATGTCCCTGCTCTGAAGGACACTTTCAGGAGATGTCACAGTGAGGATGGAGTTCCTCAACAGAGCAGCCGAGTGGAAAAAAAAAATAGAAATTTGCACCTTATCCTGAATTCAGAACCTGCATTTTTAAAATGATGCACAATTTTCAACTTGTTTTATCCTCCTATAAAAGCATTTGAGGTGATTTGTGGCTGCAATTAAGCATTCCCCTTAGACAGAAAAGCACTTTCAGGGAAATGAAGTAGCTTTTGGTAAATGACAGTCATTTGGATTAAAAAAAGAAAAAAAAAAAAAGTGCCTCATTTCAGGAAATTTAATTCATTCTAACTCACAACTTAATTGGCTGTGAGCTCTGTCTTACCTAAGCTGAAAGTGTGGGATAAAAAGCATAAAACCTGAAAAAGCTGCATGGATTGATTTAGAAACCTACAATTCCTGCCTTCCCAAGGCTTTCTTCTGACTCCTTGTTCTCAGATGTCTTCTGAAACATCATTAAGAGGAACAGAAGGCACTGGAAGTGCAGAGCATCAACGACTCCTCGCCTTAATGATGATGGTAATAATATCTGAAATCCTCTCCTCAAGCAAATGAATGACAGGAAAAAATATCAAATATTCCAGAACCTTATTAAGACAATTTTTTTCTGACGTTCAGCCCAAATTTACATTTCATTTCTGTGTGATCCTGAATTGTTCTCTGCCTTAGTCATGAAACATCCAAGTACCTGGGATGAACCTTTTGGGGAGCTTCCACAGAGCAAGGAAATATTAAAGAAACATCAGAAATCCCTTGAGCTGGATCCCAGTTGCTGACAGAATGGAAAAATCCAAAATAGTCTTCCAGATTCAAGGAAATTAGGGATAAAATACCCAGGATTGTGAGTTCTGGAAGGTTTGAGGACACATTAAACAAAGTGAGGCCTGGAGAACCTTCCAGAACAAAGGATCCTGATCATTACACAAGTGCTTAACACAGTAAAAGCAATTAAATTCAAATAATCCACGTCAGCCCATGGACCGTGGATCATTGCCACTGAAGACCAATCAATCAGATCCTAAAGTAACAAAAATCACATTGTTTTGCCTAAAAACTTCACTGCAGAGAATTATTTTGGTCCATGATCAGCCACCCCAGGACTGATGTTTCAGACCTTGCTGATGAACATCGTGGCCATGCAAGGTAATAGAGCTGATTCTGTACAAAGTCACTCCAAAGAGAGGAAAAATGGTTCAAGATCCTTTCTATGTGACCCTAAAATATGATTAAAATTAAAATTATCATCAAAAGAAGTGTACACAGCTCTGGGAGACTCAAAGGAGGTTTTGCTACTTTAAGTGTGTTTTAAATATTAGAAAAACCAGACCAAAAAATCACCAAATACCAGACAAAATAATGAATTTTCTGCTATTTTAAAATATTAAATAGCCTAGAAAACATCCAGAGGAATGACTGCTGCTAACAGCAAACATGACATTTGGGGTGTTTTTCTCTAAATTATTAATTAATAATTAATTACAAGCACCTGGCAGCACCAGCCAGAGTTGTTCCCATAACCCCAAGCTGAGTTTAATGGGTTATTTTGGATAATAATAACCAAATTCAGTCCTTCCCCTGTACAAACACAAACTCCCAAACCATGAAAAGGTTCAGCTACTCGAGATAATTCTTTTGGTTGTGTAAAAAGGTTCTGTGTCCCTACAGAGCTGAGAGCTTTAGTGCTGGAAGATGAAAGAGCCCAGGACTTCTCTTTTTTTAACAGCAGCTAAAAAAATACAAGATTTAAAGAATCGATTTCTGTGTTGTGGTTGCTCAGCCATGAGATTGAGGTAAGAAATGCCTCCTCCTTCCCCTGCAGGTGTGACAGAAAAATCAGTGTTTCGTTGTCTCTGAGGTCCTGCAAACACCCACAAATACCCTGGGAAAAAAAAAATTAAATTAAAATTTACCTCTCAACTGCTGCTAAAAATATTGTTTCTTTAATGCTCAGCTGCCACCTGAAGGACACAAATTTCTGATGTAACAGGACTCTCTCAAGGTGCAATTTCTTCTGATGTCTCCAGAGGGGAATATTGGCTTGTATTTGGGGCCAGGAGAGGTAGAGGCAGAATTAATCAGATCTAGAGATTCATGAGGATAAGAAACGTTCACCTCGTGCCCTGCAGCTCAGATTCCTCCCTCCTCCTTCCCAAATATCCCAAGACCTCACCCAGGCATGGTTGGATGGATGCTCAGACCTCCTGCTCTCCATCCTCTCATCTCTTGTGAGGGCTGGAGGGAAATTCAGGAACCAGCAGCAATTCCATGGCTTGCCAACCCTCAGGTGGGATTTTCCCAAAGGATGGGAAATGTGAACGAGGAGCAGCCAGGAGTTTGGAGAAAATGAGTTCCAAAAGGAGCAGAATGGTACAGCTGGGAGTTGGAAGGCTGTGAAGGGTATCAGCATCACAGCCCTGGGCAATGGGGAAAAACACTGGGAAAATATTGTGTGGGACAAGGGAATGGGGCTGCTTTACTGAAGGAATGGCTTAATGGGTTGGAGCTGGCAGTAAATGGGAGATTGGGAAGGAATTCCTGGCTGGGAGGGTGGGGAGGGGCTGGGATGGAATTCCCAGAGCAGCTGGGGCTGCCCCTGGATCCCTGGAAAGTCCAAGGCCAGGCTGGAGCAGCCTGGGACAGTGGGAGTTGTCCCTGCCACAGCAGGAGTGGCACTTAGGATGAGCTTTCAGGTCCCTCCATCCCAAACCATCCTGGAACCGGTGTTGGCTTTCGTCCCCCCACAGCAGATGACCCCACACCTTTGCAGAGGTTTTAGATCAAACCTGGTAAAACTCCAGCTT